CAATAGTTAGGATTCTCCAACATCCATTCACAGTGGTGCAAAACACAAGCCAGTCTTATAAGGTCTGAGCAATTTAAACACATAACATATTCAGTGCATCACTACAATACACACATTCCCCCATGTTTTGCATCTCTAAAAACCAAGCAAGTATAGAAAAATACTTCCAGAAATCCAGTGAGATTCTAACTTTCTTTAAGGAGATAAAACACATTGGGGGGGAATTTATCAAAACAGGAGCAGACAAAATCTGGAGCAGCTGTGCATGGCAACCAATCAGCACCCACCTTTCCTAACTGAACAACCTGAAGAGAGAAGCGGATTGGTTTCCATGGGCTGTCCGTTCCAGTTTTGCTAAATTCCCCTCATTGACTTTTATGCAATAAAATCCTATGCAGTATTGTCAGCGTTGCTGGTGTTCTCCCCTGCTGGACTACAGAAAACCCCCTCCTTTATGTTAAAGAGCCAAAACACATGGAGCATGTATTACAGCGAAAATGTATATTATTTTTTTCCCAGACATACACTTAAAAGCAGAACTCCAGGGAAAAATTTGCTTTGAGAGCTTGCTTGCTCTTAGGCTGGTCCCTGCCACCCGCCTCCGCTGCAGCGATGGTATGTTCTTTGGCGTCCTCGCGCCCTATAAACCATTTATAGAACGTGATGACTCATGGGACCTTAAACCACTGAACGGAGGCGGAAGGGGCTGGTCTAAGAGCAAGTCAGCTCCAAGCAACGGATAAGCGTAACTTTTTAATTTTTTAACCTAGACCAAAAATGAGCAGTGCTAGGGTAGCCACGGCAAGGGTTAATAACGTTTTCCCCCTAGGTTCTGCTTTAAGTTAGGACTGTTCTCACTACATACAATATCCAATTACAGGGCAGGCAAAATCTTGAATAAGGGATACCAATCGCCTAATTTCTTTGGTGTCCATTTCCACTTCTATAACTGTTTCACAGCAAGCAATACATCTGAGAACAGGCATACAACTGAGCAAAGTAGATAGTGTTTATTACTGTACATTTACAAATTCTACTAGGATCACATAAGCTACATCAGAGGTGAAGACCCTAGTTCTAGTAATGCTCATCACAACAGAAACTACCATATCAATGTATGCTTCAGTGTCTGTCCCTTTCAGCATAATGCTAAGGGGCAGAATTCAGGCTTGCTATACCATGCCTAGCGTGTCTTCAAACATTACAATACAAGACGTGAGGTCTTCTCAGCTTCATTGGACTGGTGGAGGAGATGTCATCACTTTGAATATTTAGATCTCTCATGGGATTTAGAATAGAATCACCAGACATTAAATACAAAGAAGGTTTTGAAGCGCTCTGTAGCCCAAATGTTTAATTCACTGTACCCAGTGTTGCAAATGAGGTGCCTGGCCTCAACATTTAATCAGGTAACTGAGCGGTTAAAAAAAAACCCATGCAGTTTTATGTTAAAGTGACAGTAAACTCAGGAGTTAAATCTAAAAAATGCATTCAGCTCTAACTTTTAACAAAAATGTCTCTTATTTGTGTATCACTCAGCTGTAGCTCCTCAAATCATCTCTGAATTCATCCTTCCTTCTGTCCTTCCTGTTGTAACTGTAGTCATCACTCCAAGGTCACTCCCGTGATGGACTACAATCTCATGTTTAGTTTACAACTTTGTATTGAGAGATTGTAGTCCATCACATGAGAGCTTGGAGCGCTGACTACTTTATAACACACACAGGGGCCATGGGAAACAAAGGTAGTCACCCACCATAAGGAAGGACAGTGACAGCACCAATTCAGAGATGATTTGAGGATCTACAGCTGAGTGATACACAAATAACATACATTTTTGTTACTAGTTCAGGTACTTGAATGTATTTTTAAGTTTGAACTCCTACGTTTAGTGTCACTTTACCTTTATCACCCAATGTTTTAGCTATATTATAGACTTATCAATATAAAGGAATATACATCTGTGCCTCATTTACACATTTTAATGCTTGGCTAGAATTTATTTCACTTTCTTTCATGGTCACTGCCAACAAAGAATTTATTAACCTTTTAAACACCCAAATTGATCTAATTGGTTTATATGCTGATCTAGTGAATGTGACTCCTGCCCTTTTATCTGCTTCCCAGTAAAATGACCTTAAAATTCCTAGAGCCCACTGGAGGTGAAAGTATGTCTCTCCTTTCAACCATCAATTTAATTGCAAGATACTGTCACAGCTTATCTCAAGCATATATTTAAACGATTAAGATACACCTAATATATAATTGTCACTTCATATTAATGACAAGTTGCTTTTTGTGTATAAAACCAGCGTATATGTGAAAAGGAAGTCACACATACTACTGGTTGCTTTGACAGTAATCAGTAGCTGAATAACAGCACAGCACAAAAAATAAAAGGAAGATCCAGCTGCCAACATCACATAAAATGTAATTAAGAGATACGCTGAACACTAAGTGCATTATTTACCCAGGGAATTGTAGTATAATAATAGGCAGTGTCCTCCTTTTTTATAGACTCAAGACAGGATAATGGCATATCTATTCACATGATGCCTGGCCTGCATGTAGGATCAGCTATAAAAATACATAATTTTCTTATGCAGCATCTGCAGGAAAGTAGGTTGTGTTCTCCCACTTCCTGAGGTCTGCCATGTGACAGGATTGTGTACAAACATCACAAGCTAAAAGTAGCACATAAACACTTAAAAAGAGGGTTTCAGTATTTCAATATCTATTCCTTCCCAAAGTGGAGTTCTTATATGCAGACAAATCGCTCACCAGATTATACCAAATTAGCAATCAATTCTAACTTGATAGACTATATCAATATATCAAATAATCTGCGCTATGGTCGTATAACTTAACCTAAAATGGTTGTGGTACCGCTGCAGTGCTAACAAAGTGTCAAAAGATATATATGTAAAAATACCCTGCGCTGGTAAATTGTTCAGTGATAAATGTTATCAAAACCGTAATGCAAATATAATAAATATCCAACATGTATAAAAATAAGATAAACGAAGAATGAAATATGTCCGTCCAATTGGTGCATAACAAAGTTAATTCACTCTAATAAAGTTTATGTGTATCTTCCATCAAAACTATCCCATAACTCACCCTCCTTGAAAAAGTCATACTGACAAAACATGAAGCAGGGGTGGAGACGTGCTGAAGGCATTTTGTGATCTGACGTTATGAGGAATCGATTGATCTTTTGATGTGCAGATCATGCCGTGCTTTTATGTAAATTACTTGTTTTTAATACATTTTACCTGGCATTATTACACTATTGTCCGTTATCTCGCTTGGGTGGATCACTCACCTGTGTGAGAAGATTTTGGGGAGTATGCAGGACTAAGTTCTGAAGCAGCTGAGGAGGATATGGAGATCTTGAGATCATAGTCGATGTACTCGAGAGTAAAGGAGCAAAAGAGGAATATTCTCACACTCACCACAAGCGCAGTTTGACCATTGGAATATATGTTCAGGACTTTCTGGTGAGTGTTCATTTTGTTAATAGAATAACGGAGGATGTAACATACTGATTATCTTGTATCTACATGAAAGTTTGGGTGGTTAAGAAAATCTGAAGAAAGTCCTTAGTTATCATCGAGTGAAGTGGAAAGTTTTGATGGAAGATGCACATACACGTTAGAGTGAATTCACTTTGTTACGCACCAATTGGACTGACATATTTGATTTTTCATTTATCCTATTTTTTTATCTTATTTCCTTGCTACTAAATATTCCACGGTCAACTGTTAGTGGTATTATAACAAAGTGGAAGCAACTGGGAACAACAGCAACTCAGCCACGAAGTGGTAGGCCACGTAAAATGACAGAGCGGGGTCAGCGCATGCCGAAGCGCACAGTGCGCAGAAGTCGCCAACTGTCTACAGAGTCAATAGCTACAGACCCCCAAACCTCGTGTGGCCTTCAGATTGGCACAACAACAGTGCGTAGAGAGCTTCATGGAATGGGCTTCCATGGTCGAGCAGCTGCATCCAAGCCTTACATCAACAGGTGCAATGCAAAGCGTCGGATACAGTGGTGTAAAGCACGCCGCCACTGGACTCTAGAGAAGTGGAGATGTGTTCTCTGGAGTGACGAATCGCGCTTCTCTGTCTTGCAATCCGATGGACGTGTCTGGGTTTGGCGGTTGCCAGGAGAACGATACTTGCCTGACTGCATTGTGCGAAGTGTAAAGTTTGGTGGAGGGGGGATTATGGTGTGGGG